CTTTTTCTTTTCTTTTTTTCACAGGCCCGTGCCAGCAATTTCAAAAGGGGGGTTCTTTTTCTGAAAAAGTGGACCTTTTTCCTTAAAAACTTCATGTACCTAGATCAAATTTTACCCAGAGTGGACCTTTTCCCAGCAAAAGGGGTGGTTCTTTCGAACCCCCCGAACCCCCCTGGCTACGGGCCTGTTTCACTACATTTTGTGAACACCTGTGGCAGAGCACAGATAATGGAACGCATTTCCAAATATTATGATTATAAATTTGGGACATTTGTTAACAGACAAGAATGTATTGAACCGATCGAGAGCGTCTGAACTACGACACAGCTACTAGACAATTATATTGTTAGATTGATTAGTCCGACAGTGGGACAATAATTATTAATTAATAATTAATTAGTCTGTTACCAAAATACTCATATCAATATGATATTTGGGGCAGTAAGGGCATTTTTTACCTGAGATGCCGACAAGAAAAATTTAAGTAGAGGAAAAGAGACTGCTTTTATAGGGATTTTATATAGAACTGTCGACGTCGAATCTCTTCCAGCAAGACACCTGTTTGGCTAGCTGGCGATGTGGCCTTTTTAAATAAATGCCGAGTTAACGAGAAAATTCTTTAGAAAACAGGCTGGGCTATCACACCAACGTTCCACTGCCACTCGGTTCTCTCTCTTTGGGGCGCCGTATAAGAATTAATTGACTTTAAGTTTAACCCCTTAAAAATAAATAGGACTTATCACTTACCAAGAGCAACTACATGTTCAATTTCGCCTTTTTTCAATCGGTGCGCCTCCATCAACGCAAACCAGCCATTGGGGTACACTGGGGGAATATCTCCAATTTTTCTTAAGCGCCGCACATGGTTCGCCACTTCCCGTTTACTACGTCCCTCACTGCCGCTGTTCGTAGCGTAGCCGACATCGCTCAAATCCTTGACAAGATCCAGCGGCGTGAACAGTTTATAGTACAAGTAATAACAAATGTAGAGAACACAACTTCCGCAGAGTACACTCACCCAGGGAATGTTTTCGAGCTTAATGTGTGAGAAATCGTGATAAAACGATTGTAAAATCTCTCCCTTTGACTTCGCGAAACGATCCATCACTGCTTGAAGTCTGTTGAACGCGATAACGGCGACTGCCGTGAGAATCACTATGATAACCAAAACATTTCCCTTCATCGTCCGTTCCAGTTTCACGTCAGTATGTCTGGGAGGTTATATTCTTTCCGTAGCTGGACTTTCTGAAGGAACTCTGATTCTTATAAGTTTCACGGCCTCGTGTGAAGTCAGCGTAATAATCCTCTTACTCTGTACTTATCGTAGCAACAATGAAATAGCGTGCTGTGATTCAGGCCATATGGGTCACGTGACATCGACGTCAGCGCCATGAGTGGTTGGTATGAATGAATGGATTTCGTGCCATATGAAAAAGCCGTAATTTGCGAAGGTGTGACTACAAGCCTAAAACAGTTTGGTTGTTCCGTGTGCCTTAACAGTATCTATATCATTTGTTAAGTCTATCGAAACCTGTTATTAGACCTGGGTAAAACGTTGTGGCACTGCTATTAAATTATGGAGAGGTCTGGAGCGACCCAAACTCGGGTGATTTCGCCAGCCAACCCACGGCAAAATACTGTATCACTTCCAAAGAAACCCATAGATTTTGTTCACTAATGTGAGAAGTAACATTAAAATGAAAACGAGTGAAAATCTGCATGCACTGACACGATAACAAAGATGATATCCCAGTCGACAAAGTTCTTTTGCGAAGTTTTTACAACTATTTATTTTATTGGATCTGTTTTCTATTTCTATTTTGTTTTCCATTGCGCTTAAAATAAAAGAAATATTTCCATTAATCTTTAACTTCAGATATTCCCATATTAATTGAACGGCCCATTGTGTTTTAACCAAGGAAGTTTGTCATCAAATCCTGGCAAGCAGAAAGGATGTATTCCTTGGGATCGGTTGTATGTATAATGAAGTAAAATGAGGGGAAATGATTTTTTGAAATTATTATTTTAGTACAATTACGTTTTAGTTAATCACGTTTTTCATACTTTGATAAAAAATGATAAATAATGATAAATAATAAAGTATATGCTCCTGAAAACCTTTGGAATCAATAGGCCTCATAGAAACTTTATGGTAATGGGATATTCTTTACATAACACTAACGATCAAGGAACATGGCCTAATGAGAAATATTGATATTTCTTTACCTATACATTTGTATTAGTTATATATTGCAGGCTCGCAGCCGGG